ACATGTGTGGCTTAGTGAATTGTTTTTAATCAAACTGAAATATTTGATTTTCTAGTGTGATGCAGACACTAAATATGCTAAGGGTTGAAGCCCTTGAAAGACACCTCCCTTTGCTTAATAAAAGACTCCAGTCATTTTGTTTGGTGATATGCTCACATCTTATGAACAAATGCATCATGTAAATTTTAAATGCATTATTTTTGCAAGACACATTTATAAAGGAATAAAGTAAAAGATTAAATAGCCTTTTTTTAAGTAGCATACTTAAGATATGTTTCTGTTGAATACGAATCTCAGATTTCCGACATGTGTCCCCCCCAATAGTAAACATATTCCTACGCCCTTGCTGGTAGCACACATAAAATATTAGTTTGTCAGTTCCTGAACCAGCAATCATAATACAGGAAAATAAAAGCCAGAAGTACATGCCTTGTACATTGTCTTTTTTTGACACATTAAACAGTTGTCATTTAAATTTTGTGCCAATAATACACCCAAGCTTTTTCATATATTATTTATTAATTTTATTAATTAATAAGTTATTAATTTAATGATATCTAAACCTCAAAGTAAAAGAATAGCTAAAGAGTTTTTTTTTTTTTTTTTACAATAAATGTTTTAGCCTAGTTTATCAACACTTTCTGTTTGCAGAGGCAAGTGTAACAAAATCCCTCTGGTCCAGTCCATTGTGGCCACTGGGTGATAATTACCTGTTTCTCAGCGTGGCTGTATTCAGGCCGGTCCTTTGAGGCCTGTCCTGTTTACCTCAGAGCAGTTAAAACACTCGGGAGGCCATGGCAAAGGACAGAAAATAGAGTCATTACTGTACCAACATGACTTGTCCAGTGAGACTGTAAGACAAAGCGCCTCATTCCAAATGATAAACCTGTCTCACAAGACCATGCTGAAGTTCTCTAAACACGTTGCATCATGCTTTGTTAAATTGCCTTTTTACTTTCCTGTCAGAGACACACACAATTAAGAACATGAAATTTCATCACTTAATGGATACTTTTCTGAGAACTTTATACATTTGATTTGCAAACTAATCTGCAAATACGGAAAATGTATCCTAATTTTAATCAGGGAAATAAGATAAACTGCCAATAAAATTAGTATTTCTGCCCTTAAATAAGATATTTAGATATTATCTACTCGAAATAAGAAAGTTGATTTATTTTAAATGTAAATAATCTTATTCTATTGACAAATTGTCTTGCTCACTTGTTTAAATAAAGTGTAAATATACATAATCAAGGAAAAACCTACCTAGATTTCAGTTCTTGTGTGTTATTTATCTGATTTTGGGCTTTCATGAATTTGTTTTTTGATTCCATGCAGGTTCATTTTTGATAGCTGGTAAAAATTAGATAATCCTGTACAATTTTTTAAATAATAAAATGTATTTTGATGATACTTTCATGCTGAAAATTGTGCCACTGCTATGGTTTGTAAAAGGTCACAAACTGAACCTTGTAAATGTTCAGTTTCAAAATAAGCTGGACAGAACAGAATAAATAAAGATGCCTAACTACATCAATGTTTTTTAGTTATACTTAAGGAATCAATACCTGTATCAGAAGAAGGCAGAGTCAGAGATTATTTTCTCCTACTCCTATTGTACCTAAATGTGTAAGACAGTGTCCGGCTTTTAGGGCCTAAAGAGCATTTAGAGAAGGTCCTAAATGGTCCCAACAACAACACTGGTGATAACTAATAAAAATAAATAAATAAATAAAATATTACTTCTGGTATATAAAATAAACCATATTAAATGTTCTCTGTTCAAGATGGGCCTTGTAGGGATTTTATGTTAGAAAAAAATGCCAACCACTAAACACCTTGTCTAGTTTAAGTGGTATTTAACTTCCCTGTAAAAATAAATAAATACATGAATAAATAAATAATAGCCTGTGGGACAAAGGCCAGGACAGAATAGGCAAAGGCTGGAGAAAACCATCAGACAGGGAGGACCAACCAGGAGATTTAGACCAAGATCCCCATCCTCTGTGAGGTTGATCCCACTAAGTGGGCCAGCCAACTCCCTTTGATTGAGCATGGCAATAACTTGGTTCCCTCTAGCACCACTGGGCTCTCTCCATTTTATGCTGTTTGGTTTTCAGCCATTGGTGTTTTTTCATGATTTTGGCCCTGATGATTGTTTTTCTTCATTTGTTCCTGGTCTGCTTTCCCCGCAGCTAATTAACGCAGTCGCTTCCACCTAGATTATTCTAGCTTTTGTGAGAGTAACTCTAGCGCTTAATAGACTTTGTCTGTTATTCTGATTCTGACCTCTTTTTTTGCTCTGGATATTCAAGTTTTTGCGTTGTCCTTGTCTGCTCTGTCTGTTTTTTTGTTTTTTTGTTCTGTTTTTCCTGGATGCTTCTGGTTACCGATCCTGGACTGTTTCACTGACCTTGGCTTGGATAACCTCTCCCCTGGTTTCCTCCCTTTTCTCTGAGATCGGACTGAACTTTGAACCAGGTTAGTGACTTTTGCACCAAGTCATAATCAACCCCTTATTCCAGTCACTGACCCGTGTTTTCCATCTCTGCAGAGAATTCGATGTATTCTCCCTGCTGAAGCCCAGGCGCTCGTATTCACCTTTGTTTAATGTTCTTGAAAAAATCCCTTTCCCAGCAATTGGTGATTTGAAGGCTTCATATGTGTTTAATAAGTAAAAAAAATTTTATTTTATAATTAATTATTTCATAAAATAACACTATTAATGCAAAAAAATGAATACTTAATACTAATTAATACTAAAATATCCTCTCCAGTGGTAGTGCCTTTCAGTCTTTGTAGGGCTGGCAGCTCCTCACACATCTCAAAGTTTGCGGTAACTCCAAGAATAAAAAATTGGAGGCTTCAATTTGTCCTGAACATCCGTTCTCTCATTCAGTGCTAATGAAAAAAGGCCAAAATGTTCTGCTGCGTCTGGGCATACATATTACCCCCGATTTCTTCAACCCGTCTGGTAATTGTACTTGCCGACAGACTCACTGCATTAAAGACATCTTTCTTCTCGGGAAACACCTCCTCCGCGACAACATTCAAAAGTTCCTGACAAACTGTTTTTCAGTAAAAGGTTTACCGCAGCTTGCTATCAGCTGAGCAACATGGAAGCTTGCACGAACTAATGATTGGTTCAGCTCATTTTGCCTTAGAAATGTAGTCTGATGAGCTAACAGTCCACTTTTTGGCTTTGAGAGTTTGTCTGCTTGTATTTCACCTTGGTAGCTAGCATACTTGTCATGGTGACGGGATTCATAATGTCCACACAGGCTGTATTCTTTGAATACCCCCATTGGCTCTTGACAGATGAGACAAACAGCCTTTTCTTTGCATTGAACAAAAAATAGTAGTGTGTCCACTGCAGGTTAAACACCCTGCATTCTGAATCAATTTTTCTCTTACCTAACCTTTTTGCCATTATTCCTTCCTAGGGGGTGACGTTCACGATCTGTGACTGGGCAAAAGTGACATCGTAGTAGTTTTTTTTTTTTTTTTTGCGTCCAGAGTTGGTATTGTTCAGAGACAGGGTCAAATGTTGAGACAGGCCGTGTGCAGCCCGCGGGCCGTAGTTTTGGGACTACGGAACTACAGTGTCAATATTAGGATTTTATAAAGAAAAATATTTTCATTATAGAATTTGTAGTCCTTATCTAAAATAACATGCATTTGAAGAGCACCAATTAAGTTCAAGAATATTCTCTCACATCGACAATCCATGGAATTCACATATAGAAAATTTTTAAACTATAGATGTCCAGAAATTATGATGATGATTATTAGAAGTTATGTGTAATAATGTGGAATGGCACAGGGAAAAAGTATTGAACACATGAAGAAAGTAAGGTGCAAAAAGGCCAGCCAAAATCTCTGAGGGATTAGGAAGCAATCCTTACTCTTGTCAGTGCAAATTAATATCAACTGGTTTAGTCCCAAATGATGGCCTACTCATTGCCTGGTATTTCGGATGCCAGCTTTGTAGAGTGCTTGGCAGAGTTCTATGAACTATCAAAGGAAGACCTGGAAAGAAAAAAAAAATCACATTAAACTGTGCCTGCTGAGACTTAACATACATCCACAGCCACATCAACTTAAAATTTAAAGTGACACATGAAGTTAAAGCATCCAAGCTATATTGGAAAATATCTGCTACTGAATGAAGAACATAAGGTATTATTTTTACAACAGATATCTTCAGAACCTGAATATACCTGTATGTTTCTAAAATTCTATATAATTTGGCTAAGCAAAGGCTTCGTTGCACATACAGTATACCTTGACTCCATCGAGTATTTTAATTTTTTTTTATATACACACATTTAAAAGCTGGGTGGCACAGAATGTGGCGAATTTGATGGAGTGAACTCAGTCACTTCTAATCTGCATTAGTCGTTCATACTCTAATCATGTTCCAAGAGATCAAATGTCGAATTCAATCTCACATATAAATGTGGCTCAGACGTGCCTTATAAAAGTCAGATAGGGGCCCAACCTGAGTGTCCAAATTAGTTTTAAACAGCAAGACCTAATCGCCTGACCTCCCAAAAGATTAGCATTGGGGCAAGTTGCTTGTAGGGTGAATTACCTCTGATTTGGCCACAGATGTCTGTTCATCCATAACAAATTTTTTAGTGACTCAATCATTAAGTTGTTTATTCAGCCTCCACTGAGAGTGGAGGCTGTGGGGATCGAACACTGTATTTGCAACCTTCTCAGAGCACAAGCACACTGCTGTGACCCACTAGACCAACACTCCTCCAATTATCAAGACCTTATTACTAATTGCAATTTTACAAACCCTGTGTAGGGTTGAGATCTTACAATAAAAAAATACAAAATAAAAAAGCTTCTAAGACATTTATTGAAAAGGCTTGACATTTTTAAACATACCACATTTAAAGCTTAAACCAAAACAAATTTTTAGGAAGTATTACAATTACAATCTTTTAATAAACCTTTGGAATTTCTGATAACTTAATGAATCATTCCCAGTTTTAATATACCTGTTGGGGAGATGGTTATTTAGTAGGTAAGGGTTTCTTCTGTAACTACTGGGTTGCCGGTTTGATATCCCGTGACATCTGTCTTGATCATTGTGTCCTTAGAAAAGCCTCTAAACCAACCCTGTGTGCTGTTGGTGTGCAGTGGGTCCAGATGACTTGGCAGTCTCTCTTCCAGTTCTTTATTTGACTTGTTTATTAATCCAGCAATGCATGTAGATGTATTGGATTACATTCACAAAAGATCATCCAGATGACAGCTTGAATTGCTACTTAAATGTTGAGAAAATATTTTAAATATCTTAACAGTTTTTTACACACACATTCACATAAACAACGCTCAACTGTACCAAACAGAAAATGACATACAAAAATCTTGAAAATAGTTAATATAACTACAGTCAAACCTCTATGGGATGGATATTTTAGCTAGATATATCTGGGACATATCTTGAAACAGTTACAATAAGTGCACATCAAGTAAAAGGGCTACTTAACTCCAACTTTATAAAGCAATTGTCTTAAGTGTTTATAAATTTCTTTGATTTTCAGTCCATATATGATTGGATTAAAAAGAGGATTACACATCATCATTTGCACTGTCATCACAAAACCTACTGTCTTTGAAATATTAGATTCCAGTCTAACAATAATCATGTCATAAGAAAACAAACAAGAATAGTTGATTAAAACCAGCAAGTGAGGCAAACACGTCTGTGCAGCTTTTCTCCTAACTTCCCTGCAACTTCTACTGGCCACAATAATTATCGCTGTGTAGGTGAATAGTATGAAAAGCATTGGGAAAAGAGCAAGGTTGAATACAACAACAAGGCCATATGTCATCAATGCTTTCGAAGCAACACAGAAAAGACTATTTGCTGAATTGTTACAGAAAATTGCTTTCAAACTAAAGTTACAGAGCTTGGTATTTGCTCTTCCAATGACAGGCACAACAGTATGACAAGGAGGTACAAACCAGGAAAGAATAAGAAAAATACTCACTGTTCTTTTTGTCATGATTGAATGATATTGCAGAGGTTTACATATGGACACATATCTGTCAAAAGCCATGGCTGCTAACAGCAAATATTCTGAACAGCTTAAAGAGTAAAACAACAACGCTTGTATGAGACAAAACTGATAAGACACAATTTGTTTCTCAGATAGGAAATCGGTCAAAAGCTTTGGGTAGATAACAGTACTGAAAAGAATGGAATTGATTAATAAAGCAGCAATAAACATATACATAGGCTCATGCAGGTTTTTATGAATAACAATAAGATATACAATAGTGGAATTACAGGACAGAATTAAAATGTACCCTGTCAACATGATTACGAAATAAAGATACCTATATTTCTGTAACTCTACATGGCCATCAAGACTAATGTATGTTATATTCATAGTATCAACAAGCAGAAGAAACTGTTCTATATAAATAATTGGCAAAGGCTATCAGACAGACAAGCATTCATCTTGTTTATAAATACCTGCACCTCCTCTATGTTTAGAGCGGAGATGGAGTTAGATCAAATATATAAGGAGACTTCTTTATCCACTATGGATTTCAGGCTATTCCACATAGAGCTGTTGGCATGCTAACAACTTTATGAAACAGACATTTGTAAGAACTTCTTGCAAAACAACTTCTTTCAGATATTTTACTTTGTGTGTGCAGCAAAATGCAGCATCAATTAACACTAGTATTTAAACATGTGTCGTAGAAAGCAAAAGGTGCTGTCCAGTTGTACTTTTTATATCTTGCTGCCTTTAAAGGATTGAATAATTTTCTATAAACCTATGTATATTCACTAAAAGTTATATTCATAACAACTATGTAGTTTTCTTATTTACTCACAGACATGGTTGGCTAACTTTTAACTGTCATGACCCGCTTAACTGAGCATCTCATCTGGCCGAAAATGCAAGCCTTTATGCTTACTTTCAATTGGCAGTTCATAGTTTAACTAAAGAACAGATGAAGACAACTAATGTGTTGTTTAATAATCCACTATTGGAATTCTGGAAACAAAAATACGTCAAAGAGATGTCCCACACCAGTCTAAAGTATAACTTGTACAAACCTTAATAGGCAGGCTGAAATAAATAGCTCTAAATTCCAAATTGTCTGGCGGTATCAGTTAACACTAATACTAATAATAAGGGACTTCTCCACTTTGCATTCCTCAGTTTCTGCCTGGACCTGCTCTTTTCTGGATTATACACTGCATGAAAAGTGGGATTTTCGTCAATATACGGCACTGTAGATTGTCGTGGAACTTCAGGTTAGCGGCAGTTTACGGCAATTTGCAGGCTTCGACGAAAACTCCCGTAAATTGTCAGAAATTGACGTGGAATTTCTTAGGCAGTGTTCCCCCCATGCCTCCCCCCCATGGAATTCTAGGGGAGGCTTTAACATGTAAATGAACATGCTGTGAGCTATACAAATGCAAACCAGGGTTGCAGGGGGGGTTTTACCCCAAGTGACATCTTTCTGGGTAAGAAAATCTCTGATACAAAGAGATCAGGTATAGCCTGAATTTTAGCTTGAATTGATTTATTTAATTAAAGTATAGAGACCAAAACAGATCTTTAGCTGACAGAGCAATACATTTAGAGCAGTAATTATTTTTTTTAAAATTTGCATATAAGATAAAAAATAAAATGTTGTCTGTCAATATGCTCAATTCACAATTACTTAAGTGGAAAAGTTTCAAGAAATGATTCTGAGATGATTCACTTTATAACATGGCGCATTATCCTGTTGGAAGTAGCCATCAGAAGATTGGTACACTGTGGTCATAAGGACATAGGTCAGCATGCTAAATTGGTTTTAAGTGGCCCAAAGTGTGGCAATAAATATCCCCCAAATAGATGGTAGAAATAGATCAGGCTCAGTATAGCCTAATTATAGACTCTTACATTTTAGCTTGAATTGATTTATTTAATTAAAGTACGCTAGATTACTGTGTATGCAAATGTTATGTAAAAAATATACACAAAATAATTTACTTCAAAAATTAGTTTTAATCAGAATCAGTTGGCTGTAATGGTTAATTTTTTTTTTTTTAGATTTCCACTTTTTTTTTTTTTTGTTATTGAATATATAAGAAAACAATAACAATCTCAAATAACAAGTCAATAACAAATATTTCAATACAAGAAGAAATATCACAACTCCTGCTTTTGAAAAATAAAATTAAATGCACAGGCTGGAACAAAGTATAAAATAAAATAAAATAAATAAAATAATAATAGTAGTTAAAGTAAATTAATCAGTGGGGACTACCAACTGAAATTCTTCAATTAACTCAAACAATTTAATTGCATTTAAATTCTGCATCTTTCTCAGACATCTTTTGAAAAGGGAAAGTTCATTTTTGAGAGCAGAGATTGAGAGGGAGCATTTTGCATAGCGACATTTATGGATATAATACTTTGTTACAATTATTAGAATATTGATTAAAAATTCCAAATTTTTTTTTCTTTAATGGATAAACCGAATTGAATGTTTTGCCAGGAAATAAAATCTAAATTTATTGTTTTAGTTTTTGGGAATATATACAAACTATGCTCTAATTTCTAGATACCGATCTGTTTTTACTATAATTTAATTTGACAAACCGGGTCTTCTCTACATTCTTTTTTCTGTTTGGTGCGATTGCAATAGCGGGTCTTGATCTGGACGGACCGGAGGGGAGCAAAAAATAGCTCAGCTCCGTATTTTGACGGTGAAGGACGGAGAAGACGTACGTGGGCGGTGACGAGCGGAGGATGTGGAACAGCTCTCATTGATTTACATGACAGACAAGTAATACAGATAGTAGGATGGACATTTTATTAGAAATAAATCATACACTGTTCAGAATACGAAACATGGGGCTGATAGTTACATTTGTGTGGGTTCCAGCACATATTGGGGTGGAAGGAAACGAGAGGGCAGATAAAATGGCAAAAAGGGCAATTAAACATTCTATTAGTTTTATAGTTAAAATAAGTAAATCAGAAGGAAAGAGTATTATTAAAGAGAAACTTATGGAAATTTGGCAAAAAAGGTGGGATGAAGATAAAACAGGAAGATGGTTTTATAAAATTCAGAAGATGGTAGGAGAAAGAAGAAATGGAAGAAGAAATAGAAAGGATGAAAGAGTGATAACAAGGTTAAGATTTGGTCATACGGGACTTAATCATACACTTTTTAAAATACAAAAACATAAAACGGGCAAATGTGATTTCTGTGATAAATATGAAACCATAGAACATGTTATATTAGAATGTCATAAATATGAAAAAGAGAGAAGATATATGAGAAGAGAGTTTGAAGACATTAAGGAGAAGGTTAATTTATTAGATATACTGAGGAAAAATTTAGGGAGTAAACACATACAAATAATTATTCGATTTCTAAAGAAAACGAAATTATTCCATAGAATTTAATTATAGTAAGTGTGTTTGTGAGTGAAGGAATGATATACAAAGCTGTGCACAAATATGTTTATATTTTTAAGTGTGAATGTGTGAATGTATGTTTAGAAGAAGTTAGGGTAGAATGTATCAGGATCAATATTTAAACCATCACGAACCACACTCCATACCAGTAAGTGGCGGTAATGCTACTAACAGTTTGTTGCCAACCGCCATAAAACTCGACAAGAAGAAGAAGAAGAAGAAGAAGACAGACAAGTACTCCGTACGTGAGCGGGGCGGAGCGCTGACGGAGTATGTGGAATCTGGGGGTAAAGGAGGACAAATACACGTCCGGCTGGGTGCAGCGCCGGACGCCGGACAGTGCAATGAAAATCCGGACTGTCCGCCCTAAAGCCAGACATCTGGCCACCCTATCTGCAGTCGAGCAACTTTGCGGGATATACGAACTCGAGGAAGAGAAGACGGGTGCACAACGCCACGCTAGCGGTAAATATACACTATATTGCCAAAAGTATTTGCTCACCTGCCTTGACTCACATATGAGCTTAAGTGACATCCCGTTCCTAATCCATAGGGTTCAATATGACGTCGGTCCACCCTTTGCAGCTAGAACAGCTTCAACTCTTCTGGGAAGGCTGTCCACAAGGTTTAGGAGTGTGTTTATGGGAATTTTTGACCATTCTTCCAGAAGCGCATTTGTGAGGTCGCACACTGATGTTGGACGAGAAGGCCTGGCTCTCAGTCTCCGCTCTAATTCATCCCAAAGGTGTTCTATCGGGTTGAGGTCAGGACTCTGTGCAGGCCAGTCAAGTTCATCCACACCAGACTCTGTCATCCATGTCTTTATGGACCTTGCTTTGTGCACTGGTGCACAGTCATGTTGGAAGAGGAAGGGGCCAGCTCCAAACTGTTCCCACAAAGTTGGGAGCATGGAATTGTCCAAAATGTCTTGGTATGCTGAAGCATTCAGAGTTCCTTTCACTGGAACTAAGGGGCCAAGCCCAGCTCCTGAAAAACAACCCCACACCATAATCCCCCCTCCACCAAACTTTACACTTGGCACAATGCAGTCAGACAAGTACCGTTCTCCTGGCAACCGCCAAACCCAGACCCGTCCATCAGATTGCCAGATGGAGAAGCGCGATTCGTCACTCCAGAGAACGCGTCTCCACTGCTCTAGAGTCCAGTGGCGGCGTGCTTTACACCACCGCATCCGACGCTTTGCATTGCACTTGGTGATGTATGGCTTGGATGCAGCTGCTCGACCATGGAAACCCATTCCATGAAGCTCTCTGCGCACTGTTCTTGAGCTAATCTGAAGGCCACATGAAGTTTGGAGGTCTGTAGTGATTGACTCTGCAGAAAGTTGGCGACCTCTTCGCACTATGCGCGTCAGCATCCGCTGACCCCGCTCCGTCAGTTTACGTGGCCTACCACTTCGTGGCTGAGTTGCTGTCGTTCCCAAACACTTCCATTTTCTTATAATACAGCTGACAGTTGACTGTGGAATATTTAGGAGCGAGGAAATTTCACGACTGGATTTGTTGCACAGGTGGCATCCTATCACAGTTCCACGCTGGAATTCACTGAGCTCCTGAGAGCGACCCATTCTTTCACAAATGTTTGTAAAAACAGTCTGCATGCCTAGGTGCTTGAATTTATACACCTGTGGCCATGGAAGTGATTGGAACACCTGATTCCAATAATTTGGATGGGTGAGCAAATACTTTTGGCAATATAGTGTATGTTCGATTACTGGTAGCTATGCTAAAAGCAGCCTAGCTTAGCTAGGCAAGCTAAAGACAGCCTAGCCTAGCTAGGTAAGCTAAAAGCAGCCTAGCCTAAAGCTTTACTAAAGTGTATTTTTTGTGATTCACAGGAAGCATTATGCCGTCTTAACAACTCGGAGACTAATTGCAGGCGCTATGAACCGGCAGGGGTGAGGTTTAAAGAATATGCTTTCATTCTGCGGTAAAAGGACA